GATTAATTATTAATTAAATATTTTAAAAACCGGAAAATTGAATAAATAAAGTCTAAACCATATTTTTAAAAACTAATATTTAAATACCTGTTTTTTTTGTAATTTTCTCTTTATCTTTTTGTTCATACTAGGGATGGCAATCTGGTGGGCCGCCCCGTCCTAATTTCCCAACTAATTAGGGAATTCTCGACCCATATAGGACCTGGCAGTGCTGGCAATGGGTGCGAGCTGCTCATCGGCTCAGTCGCTCGAGCCAAGCAGTCATATTTCCATACGAGTTGTTCTTCGACAACCCACAAGCCATCACCTGTAAATGCTATATTTTCACGCTATTCTACTTTCAGTATCAATTTCATCAATCTTCTGAATTCTCTCAACAACTTTGAAATAGTTGTTTCGTGTTCGTAATCTATCTACTATTCGGTTTATACCATTTAGAAAAGTTCTTGCTCTCTAATTCCACATTTTCCTTTATATTTTTCTATTTTACATGAGGTCATCAAGTAACAATCCCATGGACAAATTTTTGTATCTTTTTCAAAAACCCAATGAAAGAGCAAGTCGTCGTACTAATTTTGGTAAAATGAAAGAACGGTTAAATTTGTCATTGCACGTTTAAATTTCTTAAGTACCCAACAATTTTGGCTGCCATGTAAGAATAATAAAAGAAGATTCAGCCAACGCACATCGTAAGGAATCTTGTATGTCAAGTTATATGGGTTTAATAATAAGAAATTTGGGATTTGAGCAAGACATTTATAAGTAAAACTCAAATAGAAATTATAAAGAATAATTAAAAAAGAACTTTTCATTATGTCCAATTAGCAATGCCAGAAAAATATCCATGTAAATTATATATATTCCAAATGTCCCCACTTGTAGCGGATCCAAGAAAACACATTAGAATCCTAACCAATATTCTTCATAAATAAAACGTCGCTTATCTTCACACCATTTTTCAATTATTGTAAAACCAACTGGGGTGTGTACAGAGTGTATGTTTGGTATATAATACTGAACACGTCTGGTCAGAATTGTGAACTGGCATCCAATCAAACGATTCTTGCCGCTGTTGAGTTCTAGATACCTAGAAATCAACTGGTAGACTAGTCAAGAAAGCTAATGTGTGGGGAGACGTAGACTTTCCAAAGAGAGAAGTGGTCTCTCCTTCGAAGAGTTCTTCTTTTTCGATTTGTGGTGTCTGTCTGTTGATATCTGTCCTAATTCGTAAAAGCAGATTCTCTTTCTTTTCATTGTCACTTGTAATTGCAGCACGGGTTTTGTTCCAGAAAAGAGTGAGATTGAACTTGGTTGGTGCCTTCGGTCCACCTGAAAACTGAATGATATGCCATCCATTGACACTGCTCTTTTCACCGAGTGGAATCAATTCCTCGGAAAGGTCTGCATCTGCGGACAGAAACATTAAGGATGAAACTAGACAAGGATAACTGTACACTTTACAACCATTACAAAATCTGCTATATTTACGTATATGTCTGTCCAAAGAAAAGTTGAGGAAGCAGAAAGAGAGTGATAAATATTTGCAAGCATCTATAGTACCTTTTAGCTGGAAGTCATCGATTTCTTTGGTATTAATTCCAAGAGACCAGCGAGTAGAAAGTTTGGTATCAATTATGATCTGTGTAATTCTGCTCTCCTCTTTAGTGTCTTTTTCCACACGGATTGCAGGAATATCAGAGGCAACCCAGCCAGTTTCAGAACCCTTGTCCGTCCAACAGCTATAGTTGACAGAAAAAGTAACAAAATCTTGAAATCTATCACGTCCACAAACAAATCCTTCCCCAATCTGGTCAGCTTCCCCAATCAAATTTCCCGGAGTCGTTGAAAATAGAGAGATATATGAGACTGGTTTTTCATTGTATGTTCCTGTTGCATCCACAACATGCACAACCTAGGAAACACCAAAACGTTAAGAAATTTATTGTTTCTGTTACTTTAAGATGGTTTATCTTTGTAGTCTTGCATTATTTAGTGAGTACTTGTGCAGAAGATAAACCACAGTGAAAAAGCTTCAGGTAGTTTAAATGAAAAGTGGCGCTGTTAGCTATAAAAGGGTAATCTATAGAAAGATACCCAAAATTGAGTAATTAGTAGAGAAGTTAAAGGTTACTGTAGTAATTTAAGATGGTTTATTCATTAAAGTTTGTCTTTAACCATATTTTACCATGGGAGATGGAAAAAAGTTTGCAAGGATTGTATTAATGAATGCACGATCAAGTCAAAATTCAACAATGATACATGTGAAGAGAAAAGGAGAAGCAAGCTACATGGATCAAATGCATGTTAAGGACCACTGGTTGCTTACATTTACAGCTCTAGCAGTATCTTCACTAAATGGTGGCACAACACCCGTCCACACTGCACCAAGTGAGATTGCAAACAGAATGCATGTAGCAAAAATAATTGGCATTTTTGCACCTGGAGAAAAAATGAAACAAGGATTTAGTCGAGCATCAGCTAATTAACTGTAAAGTCTCAAATAACACACCTCAACAAATTCATTGAACTGCTAGCTGATGCCAACAGGGACCGGAGGATAGAATAAATATTGATTCAAT